ACTCCCAAGTGAGAACCTGAAAACTTTTTTCAGCTCCTGCTGAAGCCCTGACAGTGGAAATTATTATCTGTGGAACTTAGTTCCTGGAATAACCACACCATTAATACAGGAAGGCCTAGCTACCTGGGCCACAAAGCACAGGACCTGCAGAAAAACTTTAAATAGCTGAAGCCACTCTTCTTAGCTCAAAATCTTAAACCACACCTCTAACCCAGGCCACCCCAAATTAACAATGTATTTTGTTCCCAGTAAATAAGCTATATCAGTCTTTGGGAATAAATCCCATTCTAACCTTCTAACCCCATCTTTTAACAGGTCAAACTTAAGGTTTGTTAAGTGCTTTTTTAAAAAAAAGACTAGGCTGAAAATTAACTTTTACCTTGCTTCTGGTCTCCTCACCCACCCCCAATTTGATGATGGTAGTACTGAAGTAGTAGAAACAGTAATGTTGAGATTTACAGTCTACGAAGACTTGGACATACATTGTAAAGCTGAGTTCTTACAACAATCCTCTGGTTGGATACTATGAAAAACAGAATCCATGAGATTAAATAAGCTTGCCATTAAACTATCTGCCCACTCATGAAGAGTTGAGTCTGAAGGCAATTTCTACATTTTTATATTAATTTATGTACTTTGACCACTATAATAATTTGTGGCCAAATTTTCTTCTTGTTATGGGGTAACAAAAAGAACAGAACAAAAGTTGTGATCCAACCTATTTGTAGAATTCATAGTTTTTTAAATCTGAAAAGGACCTTACTAAGCCATGGATATCAGAATTTTACCACTGTTAAAGAATAAGATTAGACTACTTAATAGCAATCTCGTTATATTAAACAATATCTTTATGAAGCCTTACTGCAGGGTGAAATTAACATCAAAATAATTTTCTCTAACTCTGAATTCTCCAAAAATTCATTCTTTGAGCAACTAAAACTACTTTGAGCTGCATGCTGCATGCACACATCTAAGCTGGATTGCTTTCTATGAATAACAAACACAGGGGGCAGTTTTCCACTGTGTGCATCATTTCTTGAAAAGATCATATATTATGTCAAAATTAAGTTAAAGCACCTCAGATGAAAATGTCAAAGCAAGGGTTTGCCTCAACCTTTCTTGACTAAAGTTTAATTTTTATCTCTATAAAATCATGAAATCCATTTGTGATATGAACTTTGGCTCCTTAGTTAAACTACAGTAATAAGCAGAAAGCTCAGACTCAAAGATATAGAAAGATGTTGATCTAACTAAAGATAAGTTTTAAAAAATTATCCTCCAATATTAATAATTTATCAATGACACCTCTTCCTCCCACCCCCACCCCAGCCACTGGTTTCAACAATTTCTGCTTGAGAAATACACTAAGAATATCATGGCAAAAAGTGTTGAAAGCCTGTGAACTTCACTGGAATCTATGGCATTCCATGTCTATTTTCAAATCACTTGAATGAAGAAATTGAGTAACTTTAATAAAACATTCTTAATAAAAAGCTATGCCTTCAATTTTTGCATCTGCTTTGTCCTACATCTGTTGCTAACCAAGTTGGTGGTACTTATCAGTATATATACCAATTTGTAACAAAAACTCCAAATTCACTCATCTTTCAAAACCTTGTTCAAATGCCATGTCCGCCAAAAGCTTCACTGATTTTACAAGCTAGATATGATCCCAAACCTCCAAATTTTCTAGAACTTTATCCGTACCCCACTTTAGAACTTAACACTTTCTATCTTACAATAAATTATCTAGAATCAGTCTTATCTGCTGAATACAAGGTCCTTAATGCCTGATCTTCCAGTGAATAAAGAGGAGGTCCACAGCTCGGACCTAGGAATCAGGAGCAGAGCTACATGTGGAAGCTGATGAGATGGCTCACGCCAGGGGCAAGGGGGAATCAGCCAGCAAACTGGTGAAAAATAAAGGAGAACCAACTGGTATCCAAGGAAGAAGGAATGAGGACTTGAGAAAATGTCTGAAGGAGTGGCCCAAAACAAAAATAGAATTCACAGTGAAAGGCTGGCAAAAGAAAATAGGCAAGATAACAGGAAGGATAGCATGGGAGATCCTGGAAATATTCCAAGGCAATAGTGTGCAGTAGGATATCCTTGACTAAGCCCAGGGGTGAAAGTTTTTAAAGGTTCTGCATCTTTTGGGACACTTAAGGGCAAGACATATGTCTTACATAACTGAATTTAATGTCAGAGAACTGGGTTCAATTGCAAGCTTTGACATTTTCCAACTCTATGACTTGGCAATGCAATCACTCTGAACTCCAGCTTCCTTTTCTAAGAAAAAGAGATAACACCTATTTAACATGGTCATTCTAAAGACTAAATAATTTATGTGAAAGTACTTTATAAACTTTAAAACTACAAACGTTAAGGTATTATTAAAATACCATAGTATGCTGCTATGTGAATTAATTTTGCTCATTTTTACTGTGGAAAATTTCCCAGACATATATTTAGGAATGAACTTTTACTCTGATTGGATACTGGTCAGTTTATCTCAATACTTCAAAAATTTGTTTGAATATGGAAGTGCTGAATGGCATTATTCCATGACAATTTGATTTCTCAGTATAAATTTGGCCAGTAATATTTTCTGCTTTTATTGTTGTAAATAGGTCAATTTGTGCCCTGCCCCGCCCCCAATGTGTGTGTGTGTGTGTGTGTGTGTATGTGTGTGTGTGTGTTGTGTGTGTGTGTGTGTGTGTATGTCCATCCATAATTATCTATAGGGCATTATGCAAGCCATTCAAGACAAAATTTATTAAATTTTTTCTCGACTAAACTTCAATTTCATCAGGAATTTGTGATGGAACATTACTCCAGAAGTGTAACTTCCATTATCATTTGCTTACTTAGTGGAGCATTTTCTCATTCTCTTTCACCAAAATATTACGAAAAAGAGAAAAGACATTTTAAAAATGATATATTTAAGAGGCCGTAGAAAGTAATGAATGGGAAAAGGAAAATACTGACTTATGAATAGGCTCTAGAGAAAAAGAGAAATTTTTGTTTACTAATACCATTAGAGTTCTACTGGAAAATGAAAAAAATGAGATATTTGATCTAAGATCCTATGAAACACCTTCAATATGCTCTTGCATTAAACTTAAATTAGGTTTAAGTTAGGCTTGAGTAAATAACAAATACATTAGGTTTATACACTTGCAAAATAGTGGGATTTCATAGAATATATAACATTCTGCATACATGATTTATAGAGCTCTTTTATAAATAATTAGGATAAATAATGTGTAAGTAACTGAACAATACATCATATGAAAACTAAAATCAAAAAAATCATGTATAACCTAAATATATAAAATTTTTTATTTGTCAATCATACCTCAATAAAGCTGGGGGAAAAAAGAACTAACATAACTGATAAGGAAAAAAAGAAAACTAAAAACAGTATTAACTTATATTTACGATAAGCTTCATCACAACCCCTTCTATACTGGCACATTGAAATCTCTTAGTCACTAAAGGGGAAAATAAAAGGAAACAAAAGTCTGGGAGTAACTATCAATTTAATAATTTAAATTAAAATTGAGGGTGATAATTGAAGTGGCTGCTGCTAGACTTTTACTACTATTTTTAGCATTCTGGTTAAGTTCATCATTTACAAGCCTCTGTATAAATTTAAGTACCTCAGAGGGGGGAAAAAGTAGCTTTCTAGCATAAAACTAAAATTCCTTTACTAAGCACTTTCTAACATAAGAGTTTCTGGAATATTATCAGCCAATGCCAAACAACAAATTAACAAGAAAGAATAATTCATCTAAGTGAAATTATAGTTTCTGCCAATTTAAACAGACTAGAAGCTAACACTCCTATTTATCAACAACTTCTATAAAACATACTATATCATTGGGTACAAGTAGGGTTTAAGTACATACATCAAGGGGTCAGTAAATACTGAATACTCAGTAAAAACTAAATTCCAAAACCTTAAATTTCCAAGAACAAAGTGATAACACAAAATGAAATATCAAAATCTAGTACAACTAGTAAGAATTTTAAAAGTAACTTGGTTAAATTTCACATAAGTTCATATCTTTATGTTAGAAATTTCAAGGTGTTTTTGATCAGTCCTTTGCTCTGAAATCATTCCAAAATTACATATATATCTTCTTAAAATAATAACACGTATTTTTGAAAAACTAATATATATTGATAATTTTAAATAATTACTAATATTTTTAGCATTTAAGAAAATATATTCATTTTTCAAAAAATACATTATGTTTTAAACAATTTTTATTTCCCACATCAATCCCATTAGGAAATATTTTAACTCCATTGATTTGGGACCAATATTTAACTGTACATGACATTAAATAATATTACCCCTAGTATTCACATTAATTCTCTAAACAATGACTACACAGTGATAGCATCAAAACCATGCTCATGAAAAATCTACTTTAAGTTCCAAATGATACTTCTCAGAAATATACCCTTACAAAAAGTACTGAAGAACCATGCTCAGTTTAAAATATAAAGCCTATTCGTTAATAAAAGTAAACATCTACAATTTTAATACATTTTAATACATTTGTGCACATCAAAATACAGTACAAATGCCTTCACTGATTAACAGCAGCTATTTATATAGAAATCTGTAGGTGACACGAATTGTCTTCATAAAAAAATTTTCTTAAGTCCAGACAACATAAAAATTCTTTAAAAGAATTTAAGTTTGAGGAAAATTTTTTATCATTGAGAATAATACACTGTTTTAATTTTGAACCAATGTAATTCTAATTACTATGACATTTATTTACTGACTAATCATAGTATAGAAAGATCTAAATGTTCATGATTCTTCTAAGATTAACCATTTAAAGCATATAATCACTATTAAAATTGATTATACAAAACATAAAAAGAATTTGAAAATACAACAAAAGACCACTTTGCCTATATATGCTTTCAAAATGAAATAATCAGAAATTTTTTAAAATTTAGCACTGCTTAAGACTTACTTAAACAAGACCTTTTACCAGCTGTGCTTGCGCCACCTGAACATAAATTCCCTCCTCGATGAATTAATTCAAGTTCCAAATTGGTTCTGTAAGCAAAGCATTAAAAAATATCTCAGTCATTAGATTGAAGTAATACTTTCTGTTTTATTGATATATCTGAATAAACCTAAAGTTCTTCAACTTTATTATTTGAAAAATTATAGTTTATGCAATATCAGTAATAATCATATTTTATCTGATATTTAGAAAGTTACAAGGGGAACAGTTTATCTACCCTTACTTATATGTCCATATTTATACCTGCAAAACTGCACACGTCACAGTGTAATTGTTGCAAAATCCTAGATGTTGGCAAATACTAAAAACTAGGCCTTAAGGAGAAAAACTGCAACACATTTCAAAAACCCGCATATGAATCTGATTAAAGAATCTGTACTCTGGCAGCCACTGATTAGGTGGTTACTGGCACATAACACACAAGGGCATACCAATTTTTCTATCAGAGAAATGGTTATCACTCACTGGAGCTTAGATGGCATCTAGAAACCAATATTAAGAAACAAAATCACTAACATCAAAGTGGCTATAAACAACACATATAATTAAACAGCAGTCTCCTTTATAGACTTCTAAAATTACAGTTTTATTAAAATACATTGTATAACTATTAACACTGCTAAACAACAATATTGTTCATATAGATTTGAAATTATATTTAGCGATTATTAGTTTACAGAATAGCAATAATTAGTAAATTGACATTTCAAAAATCAAATTGATGCAGAATCTAAAGATTTACTCACAAGCAGTAACAGTAAAATAGCCAATCAATTTTGACAAAATAATAAATGAAAATTCTGAGTGACTGTATTTTTATTTCAACAGTATTTATAAACTTAAACACACCTTTATTTGCCACAACTAAAACTGAATAAACTAGTTTATATCCAAGATATGTATATATGACAATAAGAGTGAGATATCCCCCATCTTAAAAATAAATAAATAAAAGGCAACATTTCAAGCTTACTCTTTGCAAGTGAATTCAGGAAAGAACAGAACCCTATTTTATTTAAAACAAAACATTTTGAGCTGGTTTTGCTTGTATTTTGAACACAGAATGTTTTGAAATGTTATTTTCATATATTTACTTATAAATGCAAACTGTTAAAAATATTAATATTTCTAAATCTGTATATTTGCCACCCATTTCTAAAGGAATGCTTTAATCCTCTCTACTCAGGAGGGAGAAAAAGCAATTTAACATTGATAATGTTCCTGCTCAGAGCTCCATCTGGTTGCTGCTGATAAGGGCATCTGTGTGACAAGGGAATTTTCCACCCTTCAGGTGATTTGCATTGCTCACTGAACTTCTAAAAACCTACCAGCAAGGAAGCAGGGACAAGGATTTCATATTAGTGGACAGAAAGCGAGCGGAGACCAGCATGTGTTCCTTCATCAAGGGAATATAAATGAGATCAATACATTTTGTTTTCACAAATCTTCTGTTGCCTAATCTGTAGAAAAAAATTAATGGCTATATTCTCTTATAAAAACTAAGATTTCCTAGATAGTACTTTTAAAAGAGCTAACCAGAAACGCGATTAATTCTTACAAATGAACGTCAGAACTAGAATGTCAACTTTTATTTCAGCATAATTTGCAAAAATATTCATTAAAATATAAATACAATAACAAGTCTATTTATTTAATCATCAAATAAGATACTTTAAAGGATGATAAACATGTTACCAGAAATCTGATTTTAAAGAATACTTGAAAGAAAACTACCAAATGTAATTAATTACTTCAGATTATGGTTGGAAGATCTCCTGTGCAACATTCCTTCTGAGTTAAAAAAACAAAACTACCTATCCAAAGGGTTTGTATAATATCTAGGATTTAAAAAATCAATATGTCAGAAGCCCTAGCCATCAGCTTCTCCTTATTTAATTTATAACAAAATTGGCCCTTTAAGTCTTGCTAGAGAAAAGAACACACAAATGTGTCACATGCCCCATGTCTGCTTTTCCCTCACTGTTGAAAATCGTAACACAATATTCTGTGTCTGCCCTCCTGAATGGATGATATAAAAATTAAGATGTATTGGGAGCAGAAGTTTTCCAAGCCTTTTTGTTCTTGGAGAAAAGTAGACTCAACTTTCTGTATTTTCTAACACAAACACATTCAAATTAGTTTGGACGGGGAATTAAAAAGAAGAGAAAATCTCTACATTTGAAAGAAAGATTGCTTAAAGCCTATCATGGTGGCCACCTAGATACACTCATATTAAAACTCCTCCAACTATGCTCCAGTTTCTTTTTGCTTGACCAAGTATGCCTTCTACCCCTCGTTTGGCACTAACTTATAATATTTTTAGAGCTATAATTTGAAAAATAAACATGTGTATAAACACACACACACAGAGACTCAAACACATACTCGTATAGTGTGGGTTCAAGGCCTGAGCCTACCCCTACTAGATGACCAATTAATTCAATTTCTCAGAGAAGAAAAGATCTTCATCCATACCATGGCCTGGCCTATATTATCGAATACTCAGCTCAAGCTCTAACTCCTCCAAGACTTAGGGAGAACTAACTCCCTTTTCTTGGAACAGGAAAGAAGCGCTTCTACACACTTTATATTTCAATTTGCTCATCTTCCCTTTTGAAGTTCTACAGCACTTTCTCAATATGATATATCTATTTAAAATATATGTATTTTTAAAGTATTTATATTTTTATATATTTAAAAAAATTATATTGTTTTATACAGATTGATGTATATTAGTTTTGTCTCTCCAACTAAACTGTAAATTCCTGAAGACCAGGGACCATTTCAGATGCAGCTTCTATACCCCTGATGGTACCTAGCAAAGTGTTCAAACAATTCCCAGGACCTGAACACCTCTTTGTTTTGATATGTAGCCAGTGATAAGATTCTCTAATCCCTGCAGTTTATTATCATTATCTTGTTGACCCTTCCTTTAGTTTTAAAAAGGATTCATTATTTGGTGTTTTAGCAAGCATTCTTCTTATTTCAAACATAATTAGTTTATAAAGTTTAAATTTATAATGCAACTAATGTATAAAGCAAGCTGCATTCACTTTACTGAACAGTTTACCCACTTATGACTTAAAGATGTCTCTCCATCTACATCTCAGTTACTCACATTTCAACTTCTTTCCATTTCCATGTTTCTCACATATACAGGCTAAGTGCTACTTACTAATAACTCTAGGCTATATATAACTTGGGTCCAAAATCTTTGGAGAAATCAATTACTCAAATTAGTGTGATTCATTGTTTCAATAATGAAATAATGAATTGGCATTGAAGTGAAAAAAGCTTTCTTCTCCAAAATTAATTTTCCATAATCCATTTGAATGATATTTGCAATAGAATGTTTTTTGGAAATACATTAAAACTTGAATATAGTAATTTTGATTAATTTTAATGCAACAAAAAGATCATTCCAACAATTTCTTCTTTGCTGCCCTCAGAAAATCCTCCAAGCCTTCACCTTGCAAATAAAATTAAAAACAAAGAGATACATATTGTCCTACCAAAAAATAAGAAATAGCTCAAAAACAATTATTAAAGGACACAGCTAGTTACCCACTAGAAATATTTTGTTTCTAAACATCAAAAAATTTAAGCTCCCCAAAGAGCAAACAAAATTACTTATTCAGCTGGGAGAAATTCAGTCCTGGGAAACTAGGGTTGTAGCCCATTCAAATTACTAATGTCAAATACAAATACATTTGCACGTTCTAAGGGACTATACATTTAAGAATCACAACATTTAATTCAAAAGTTAAATAACTGAAATTAATTTTATTTCTAAATATTTTACTTACTTAACCATTTTAAATACTGCTAAATATTTCAATGACTACCTTTTAGGCATAAAAATGATCATAATCTGTAATCATTAAGTATTTAATGAAACAAGGTTATATGTCAGGCAGAAGGTAACTGTAAAGACCTGGTTTCCTACCTTGAAAAAGTTACATCTTATTCAAATAGAATATACATGCTTTTTTCCTTTAACTCACGTTTTTGTTAATTTTTGAGTCAATTTGTTTTTTGTGTTTCTTTTTAATGATTAAGTAAAACTTAGAGAAGGCATGCAATCTCACTGTGAGAACATTGCAATGGCCTGGGTAATTTTAACCAAGGATAAGGTTTTTACAGGTTATATACTTTCACTTTTAGAATCATTATATTGTTGCTTTAGAGTTTACCACTAAGGATCAGAGAAGGATGGGAGGATGGGAGAGCATATTTTCTCCACTTCTCTATATACACCCTTAGTAAATAACATTTGACATCTGTCCCTGCTTCTATATAAAAGAGAAAAACAAAAATATGTTCATTCAAAAAGTCTCCCATTATCACAGCAAGCTTTCTATAAATATTTCTATTAAAAATTATATTCTATAAATTATTTATATATTTAAACAAAGAAATAGGAATCCAAAACTTCTACCAAACTAAATTTAAATCAAATTATTTGATTTATCATACTACAGCAAAATTCCATGTACAGATCATTCCCATTCAACCAGGACTTTCTTATAAGGTCAATCCTAATAAAATCAAAGGCATAAATGCACAAGTGACATAAATATGAGTGTGTATATACATGCATTGAGTTGGTTTACATCCATGTCACTTTTCTACATTATTACCATAATATTGTACAGAACTTTATGAAACTTGAAACCTGGCAAAATTAAATTATATTCAATTTAGTTTTCATATAAAGTATATTTTATTGCAAGTAGGTAACTGGTAACTCTTTAGAGACAAAATGTTAAATTAACTGTTATATCTTCCCCCAAAGCATTCTAGATAAATAACAATAGCCTAGGAATACACAGACTAGATAGTTACTTCCCAATCCATTAGATCCTTTTACATCAATCCACATCCAGCACTTGCATTCTTAGACCAAAAACTAATGTTTCCTTATCCTGAGGTCTAACTTGTTTGCTGCAATTTTCTTAAGTCTGGTTCCATTTTTCCTGGGTTCAAAAGAGTACATAGTTCATTCACTCTTTTGTTACCCTCTGTTCTAAGAATGGGGCAGAGAGAATGGTCATGATGAACTTCATGTATATATGACTTATAAAAGCTGAACTAAGGAGAGGAAAAAGGAGAACAGTAATTGAAAGAACACTATACCTCAGCTCAAGAAATCTGAGTTCTAGTCCTACTCTACCACTAATTTGTTGCATGACTTCAAGTCACGTTATTTCTCTAAATCTTACCTATTACAATACTACTTGAACAAAGTACGAAGTATGCTTCTAGAGATATCCAGGGGTCTACAATATCAGATCTGGCAGAATGTGTTTACAATTGTGCCTGCTTCTCTCCTATTTTTTTTTTCTTACGGTTCTCCATTTTCCTTCAATTAAGTTTTCGAAAATTCCTATTTGGAATTATTTCTTAGGTATTAAACACCTACTCAGTAGATTAGACTATTTCTACCTAATCTGAAAGATGAGAAGCATTTACCTCTGTTTTCTTGAGACCGGTAGCTACTCACAGAAGTTTAGAACATGCCTGATCTCTTGTTTCCTCTCCTTTACCTGATTTTCTAAACCACCTATAGTCTTCTAGGACATTACTAGATCTTGCATGAGCTTAAAACAAAGTAAGTTCTTCTTACTCTTCTTATTTTTTTATAAATTAGAAGTATTTAACATATTACAATGTTTTAGTTCTTAGTATTATCACTTTTTTGACAGGGCTTAAACAGTGATTTCTTAACAACACCCTTCATATATAATACGCACATGCTTTGAGGTAGACATCTGTCCCAAATGTTAATAATATACTTTTCCTCATATATCCTATAATGTTTAATAATACCTAAACCAATATTCCATTAAAATAAAAACTCCTCAGAAAAATGAAGTAAAACTCTACTTTTATAGACCTTCTAGGAGGTTCTAAAACTAGCCATAATTTCAACGAACATTAAAAATATGCAACCTTTTTTCAAATAAATATGAATGGGAAATAAAATAAACTATTAACATTAAGTAAATATAAAAGTGTATACTATGTATACCTACCTAGCAACAGAATACATAAAGAGAAAATCATTATCTGGTGAGCCTGGAGTCTTGCTATAGTCTCTGTATTTCTTCTGAGTGGTATTTTTGATATCTTTCATTACAGATTCCATTTCTTTACTTAAGTTGGTTTCTGACTGTAAAAAACACAAACATACATATAAAGTTTACGTATATTCATTTTCTCTAATAACAGTCTAACACTACATTGTTTATCATATGAGCACACTAGGAAGTTAAGGTTTAAAAGTCAAAACAGATGTACATTAGCTATGCACTATAAATATACTGAGTGCACAAAGATAAAACAGATCAAGAGGTATTTTCTCTTATTTTAGGGACCTTTTATTCTAGTTTTATATTGTGATCCAACCATGAATTAACCACACAAACTATATTCTAAACAAATGAGTATATGTCATTAAAATATATTAGAACAGTTTCCATGGTTATAAAAAATCTTTCATTTAAGCTCATTTTTTCAAGATTAATATTGATGTCCCTTACTTTAAGCATATTTTAATCACATAAAAATCTGGATTTCGAAAAGAAAAAAAAAACACATAGACTCAAAAATTAGTCTTCAATTCAGAAAAGGAGATGAATCTTTCTGATTAGCTTTAAACTATGAATTTCTGTTGAAAAAGTCAGATATTCATAGTTTTCATAAATTTACTGCATATACTGGGCATTGCTGTCACTCCTCTAAGGGACCATAACATAAATCTATAATGAAGGCTAAATATTTAAGAATTTAAATCAAATAAATCCTACTGGATGGGATAAAAGATGGGTTCACTTAGACCAAATCTCACAGTAAAATAGACTGACTTATGGTTCGATCATACATACAATATTTTATCTCTCTAATACACATACACATACACACAAATGTATGTGTAAGTCTATAATTACACACACAGAAAGTCTGCATGTGTGTGTGGAAATACATCATCTTAATTTTAATATACCTAATGGCATATTTTTAAATGATTAGATTGTGCTTTACATTGCAAGATACATCTATATAATGCTGGACTTTGTTTTTAAATATTTCAACATAACCATATCTAAGCTTATAGGATATTCATGATCTGGAAGATGTATATTAAAACTATAACAATTTAGACTAAGGAAAAGCATAGCCTTTAATAATAATTTGTTCTGTTACTCTCATTTTTGTTTTTAATAACCACCAACAGAAGAGTAAAACCTCTAAAAGCAATTTCTACTAAATATATAAGGTCCAGAGTAATTTAGAAGTAGAACAAAAATTAAAGCTGAAAAGCAGAGCTGAGTTAACCAGGATATTTCTGCCTTACACTGATGCTTACTGGGAAAGCTCCCGGACGTCCCTGCAGCTCCTCCACTTCCTTTATGAGATCTTGTATGCTTTTGTTACTAGGACGTTGCCAAAGGTTGTTTTCAACAATGCTTCCAGGATAACAAGGAAGAACACTGTTAGCAAACTGCCTGCAGAGAGGACATGTGAATTCTCCTTTGTCCACTGAGAAGCCCTGAAGAACCTGGTCATTCTAAAAGATGAAACGAACATACAGCTATATGATGCACACGTTTACAGAAAACAAAATTAACACCACTACATTTTATAGTAAATAAATGAACCATACAAAAAAAGGACCTCTAATACATGTCATAAAAGCATAAAATCATTTAACTGTTGAAGATTATCAAATCACTTCTTACATCATGGCAATCATGCAACACTTGCCATCACCAATGAACTACTTAAGTATCCTACTCTTCTCTCAGTATGAAACATTCAAATAATGATGCAATCAACCTGAAATGTGGATTTAAGATACAGAATAACTCAAAAAGCAGGCCACATTAAAGTGAATCACATTCCTCTTCCCATGCCCCGTTTTCTTCACCTATAAGTGACTACTGGAAAGATTCTCCCAGTGCTCATGTTATTTGATGTAGGATAGACAGCTTTTGAGAGCATTTAAGCCTAAAAAATTGTAATGTGTCTTCCAAGGTGTCTAATGGCCGAACACAACTGATTGGACTTGATGCAGTGGATTTGTTTAGGTTTAACGGATAGGGGCAAGATTTAGTTAGAACACTCAGAACATAAGGGTGATAAGGAGGGGAATTAATTTAACATCCTCTCCTTCAGATGTTCCTGATAGGAGAAGGAAGAAATATGAGAATTTTTGAAACAGAGACACATAAAGCACATATGCCTAGGAGGAAACTCTTGCTCATGAGAGACTGTAATTCATGCTAACTAACCAGGATTTAAGGCAGGAATCCAGGCTGCTATATTTGTTCCTTTCTTTTGTCTAACACCACCCACATCTATTTTGCTCTTTCAGGCTACTGCTATTGTGTAGTCCTAACCAGTGTCTTACTCTTTTTTCCAGCGGTCTCTCTTATTCTGGCACTAACCTAATGCTTTATCTCAAAATATGTTTTTAATGTACTAATATATGTATGAATGCTACAATATGACCATTATTACTAATAAGACAAAAATAATGAGAAAAAGGATACAAAGAAGAAAAAATGAATTTATTTGCCCATGGTTACAAAGGTAGTTAATGACAATGTCAGAATGAACTTAGGTTTCCCAACTCTTTAATTTAGTGTTCATTTCACTGTATCTTGGATTTCAAGTACTTTGGCCAAAAGAACTGAATTCTTTTTTTTTTTTTTACTCTGTGACACTTATTTTTTTAATTCCTTAAAAATCTAACGCCATGTCTTCTTAAATCCAATTCTATAAACAAATGCTAAGCTCCTATCATGTGTCAAATGCTGCACCATGTGACAGCAAAAAGAGTTAAGAGACATCTTCATTTAAGGTACTGACAATTTAAAAGCAAATAGAAACAAATTATAACACTAGTGTGATAAATGCAACAGAGAAGGCTTCCCAAAGAAGACTTGTGAAGTAAGCTTTAAAGATATACAAGAGGAGTGTACTAAAAGGTTGGGGCAAGGGTCCTGGTCGTTGAAGGACATTCTATGATAAGCTTCCCTGTAGCCATAATTTTAAAGAATGCTAGGTCCTCATCCTAGCCTTGACTGGAACTAGGTTCTTTCCTGAAGCATCACCGGAAGCCCTCTCAACTAGACACTGCTCATTTTCCCACATCTGTCAAACCTCAGTATCCTTCTCATCTCCAGTGCTGGCTCAAGATCATTACTCTTGCATTCCCAGTGTGGCTCATGCCATTTAGTGAGATCACCCCTTTTCCTTCCTTTTTACTGTCATCCATTGCCCTTAATATCTGAAGACTTTGGTACCTAGATCAGTTTTCCTCATCACTCCAAGTCCTGCCATCCTCATACACAATTTCAATGCATGTAGACAACCAATGTTATACCTTAGTCCCTTAGCTCCCTGACCTCATCAACTCCAATGGCTTTGACCTCCACTCTACCCTAGCACCTCTTACCATGACCACACCCTTATCTTGTAATGACCAAAAATTGTCCATATCTGAAAATATTAAATTCAAACATCTTATATTCTGTCAACTCCTATCTCTTTTAGTCCCTCTCTTTTTCCTCAGTTTATACGGTCTTTCCTATCCTACCATACACCATGATATATCATTTTAAAAACTCTCAAGTCAACACTTCTCGTTCTCCCTCCGTATGTCCTTCTATGATACACACCTAAACAAAATCTTCATACAAAATTAATCCAGTGTATGACTTCCAATTCGGCGTTCAAACTGAGTGCTGTTAGAGAGAACTGAAGTAGCTTCTTGCTACAAACTCAACTTAGCCCTGAATACTTCCTGGCAATCTTTCTCCAACATCCTATGAAGCATTCTTTCACCCAATTCCAAAGTGTTTTTTCTAAACCGTCTCCTCACTTGTCAAGTCCCTTTACCTACCCCAGCTTTGCCCCCTCTACTCTAGGAACATAAAGCTACACCTCCTACTTCAGAAAGAAGAGGGTCATGGCAGTGAGACAGGAGGAAAGGGGGCAGGGCACAACCTTTAAAAGAATGACACAGCTGTTGAGGATATGACAAACTGGTTAGAACCAACTAGGTCCAAGATGGTGTAAGATTCGACTTCCAGTAGACCTTGAGCCTCATTATATGCTCACTGTAATACATTAGCATATGCTAAATGACACACCCACCAGTGCACCAGACAATTCCAAGGCTAACCATAAAAGGCCAAAAAGTGGGTGATGGCCCAATTCCTGGAAATCCCCACCCCTTCCCCAAAGTAGTTGGAATAATCCTCCCACTTGCTAGCCTATGAAATTCCCAGTCCATAAAAACTAAACCACCCCATACCCCAGGGTGCTCTCACCCTCTGAGAAGGACTGCATTCTGCCTATGGAATGTGTACTTCCCTGAATAAATCCCTTTCACTTTATTATGGCTCACTTGTGAATTCTTTCCTGAACAAAGCCAAGGACCCTCACTTGGTGGTCTGCCCCAGGGACATGCCCAAGACCTGGGACACTGACCATCCTCTCGTGCCTGCCCCATTCGCCTGCAACAACAGCTCCTTCAGCCCTGCCTTCTCCCACCCCAAATATCTGATTAATAAACCCCATCAGTCCTTCCACCCACTTTCTTCCTTCTACTCCCTTTGCTAATATCTCCTAATAGTCTCCCAACCATATCATTGCCAGTATGATCTACCTAATGTGAGATACTTATTCCCAATCAAAATCTTTCAGGGATCACTAACACCTCTTACCTTAATTCTTTCTTATGCTCCACATGCAATCTCTCACCAAGTCTAGAAAATCCTTCTCTAAATATATTTCAAGCAACCTAAGTGTCCATCGACAGATGAATGAAGAAGATGTGGCACATATATACGATGGAATATTACTCAGCCATAAAAAGAAACAAAACTGAGTTATTTGTAGTGAGGTGGATGGATCTAGAGACTGTCATACAGAGTGAAGTAAGTCAGAAAGAGAAAACAAATACCGTATGCTAACACATATATATGGAATCTAAAAAAAAAAAAAAGGTTATGAAGAACCTAGGGGCAGGATGGGAATAAAGATGCAGACCTACTAGAGAATGGACTTGAGGACACGGGAAGGGGGAAGGGTAAGCTGGGACAAAGTTAGAGAGTGGCATGGACATATATACACTACCAAATGTAAAACAGATAGCTAGTGGGAAGCAGCCGCATAGCACAGGGAGATCAGCTCGGTGCTTTGTGACCACCTAGAGGGGTGGGATAGGGAGGGTGGGAGGGAGGGAGATGCAAGAGGGAAGAGATATGGGAACATATGTATATATATAGCTGATCCACTTTGTTATAAAGCAAAAACTAACGCATCATTGTAAAGCAATTATACTCCAATAAACATGTTAAAAAAAAAAATTTCAAATCTCTAACCTCTTCTCCATCTTCACTGCCATGACTAAGCCCAAGCCACCATCATCTCTTACCTCCTAAATAATATATGCTATCACCATATTCTTTCTTATTCTCCTGCAATCTCACACCCTAAAATCTACAGAACCACCACAATAACCTTTCTAAATGTCATCTCTCTGCTTAAGAGTCTTAAATGGCTTTAATGGCTCTCTGTAAGGAATCTGTCTAAAGTACAAATTCCTTACATGGACCACAAGACCCTTTACAATATAACCCCTAATTACTTCTCCAGTCTTCTCTCTTATCACTCAAGCACCTTACTTCATCAAATTCTGGAACTTGCAGATGTCCCAATAAGACCCTGTGCATACCTCATAACTCTTAGCACCTATACCGCAACTGTTTGTTTATTTCTGTCTCACGCAATGCATAGTAAATTCCTCGAGGGAAGAAACTGTCTTATTCATTGGGATGTATCCCCAATGTCTATCACAGTGCCTGGAACACTGTAGGCACTGAATAAATATTTGCTGAATGATTGAATACAGAAGTATGAAAAATGCATAATGTGCTTAAGGAACTATTAATTAGTTTATTAATGCTGAATTGATGGAAGACAAAGCTAAAGTAACATGCAAGCCCAGATCATGGAATGCCCTGAATGCCATTCAAGGAAGAGTGAACTTTACCCCGAAAGGAAGAAATCGGTAAAGAATTTTTAAGCCAACAACATGTCACCAGATTTACATTTTAGAAAGATCAATGTAATGAGTAAATTAGACTTGGAGTAAGGAAACTGATAAGCAATTGCAATAGTCAAGATGAAAGATGAAGGCATATGCAAAAAAGCAGAAGTGGGAATAATGTAGGCAGAATGCAGTCAAGTGAGATTTAGGAAAAGGAATCAATAGAATTTGTTATGTGACTTAATGTGAGAGGTAAGGAGTAGGAAGGGAAAAAGAGAACTCTTCTGCTTCTGAGTCAGGAATCTGGGAATAGGGCAGGTCATGCTTTTAAGAAGCTGAGCTGAGAGAAAAAGAAAGACTGCAGCTACATGGGAATGCAAGATCAAGGGAAGGAATTGTGAATGCCAGAGACTTGAGCACCTTTATGAACTGAAATGAAGAGACAGAATGGGCAGAAAAACTGAAGACACAGAAGAAAAAGAGGTTACTTACTGATAGACCAAGGCCCCTGAGGTGATGGGGAGAAAGGAAAACTAGAGCATAAACAGAAAATTATTCTTCAACAGAAAAAGGAATACTACCCTCAAAAGTAAAAAAGAGGGGACTTCCCTGGTGGTGCAGTTGTTAAGAATCCACCTGCCAATGCAGGGGACACAGGTTCAAGCCCTGGTCCAGGAAGATCCCACATGCCGCAGAGCAACTAAGCCCATGCACCACGACTACTGAGCCTGCGCTCTAGAGCCCACAAGCCACAACTACTGAGCCCACGTGCCACAACTACTGAAGCCTGTGCACCCTAGAGACCATGCCCCACAACAAGAGAAGCCACCGCAACGAGAAGCTGCGCACTGCAATGAAGAGTAGCCCCTGCTCACCGCAACTAGAGAAAGCCTGCATACAGCAACAAAGACCCAATGCAGCCAAAAAATTAATTAATTAATTAATTAACTTTTTTTGAAAAGTGGAAAAGAAAGGATTGGCTGGGATGCAGTCACTTATCGGGGAACAGAAAAGCAAGGTAGGAAGCTAAGGTAGTATGTGACAGACAGCCACTGTTGTCTTGTGCCACAGGAAGAGACAGATCTGATGAGAGGAAAGGCATCTTGGGATTTAGGCAAAGAGTCTAGGATAGAGGAGACAAAGGTCTGGAATAGCTGCTAAGGAGACTAGGAGAGGAAACTGATCAAAGACAGGTAAATGAATTGATAAGTAATATCTACAGTCTATGACCCCAATCTCAGCCACTATTCTAAGAAACCACAGATTTGTGGAGGTACCAGTTCACCTAGTTTTATGATTTTTCTAACAGTGCTAGCTGACTGGGTATAAAATCAAAGGAGGTGGATTAAATGACTGGTATTAAGAGCAGAATGGGCACAGTACAAGAAAGTGAGGCAAGGAAAAAGCTAGCGTACCAGGAAAATGCAAGGGGCTAAAGGACTAGAGATCTTGAGGTCAGAAGTAAAACACACTAATAAGAGTAAAAATAAGAGACTTTGAAGAATAATCACATAATGATATGGTAGGATATTAAAGCTTACTATTTTTGAGCTGGAGTAGCAAAGTCTAAAATTATAGCCGTGGAAGTTAGTTGCTAATGTGAAGTAAAAACATGAAATCCCGGGCTTCCCTGGTGGCACAGTGGTTGAGAATCTGCCTACCAATGCAGGGGACATGGGTTCGAGCCCTGGTCTGGGAAGATCCCATGTGCTGCGGAGCAACTAGGCCCATGAACCACAACTACTGAGCCTGCGCGTCTGGAGCCTGTGCTCCGCAACAAGAGAGGCCGCAATAGTGAGCGGCCTGCGCACCGTGATGAAGAGTGGCCCCCGCTTGCCACAACTAGAGAAAGCCCTCGCACAGAAACGAAGACCCAACACAGCCAAAAATAAATAAATAAACAAATGTGGGGTTTAAAAAAAAAATGAAATCCCTAAAGTTGAAGAGGTCAACAACTATGAGGCTGAACAGTCCAAATGGCAATCATAATCACCCAAGATGAATTAGGATGTATATATTGCAAAAATATTTAATACCTAGAAAGACACATACACCTTTAAAATGTTTCAATTGACTTACCCGTAATGATTCCATATAAGATTTATGACAATCTATATGTAACGTGTGGCCACAGGTTTGTACATAAACACCTCCTTCCCAGCCAATTGATACTGCCAAGAGACAAGAACTCTTAAAAAAGAAAGAAAAGGACAAAATACAATTAATTTTAAAGAAGTAGAAACATATCTAAACAAATCCACATAAACCTCTCAAAGATTTCATATTGTTATACTAATGTGAGCTTTGTATTTCTGTGATGTAAAGAAATACCTGACTTGACAGCCCTGAGGCAATATCAAACTTGGAACAGAGTTTTAGCTTCCAAATAACTATACTCATAATGAAAGAGAATAATTATTAATTAGCCTTTCTCTACCCCATAAGATATAATAAACTATACTGCTACTGAGTATTTTACCTGTTCGACATGGTACTTGATCTCTCTGTGATATCTAACCTTAACAACTGCCTTCTTAAAGCACCTACTTCCCTCTAGCTTCCACAATGCTACTCTCTTTTGGTTTTTCTCCAATCTCTTTAACCATTTGGTTTAGGCCTCCTTTTAAGACTTTTCTTTCTTCATCTGCCCCTTCAAATGTTTAAATTCCTCAAGATTCTATTCTTAGTGCTATTTTCTTATTAAAACTATTCTCCCTGAGTGACTTAATCAGTAAATTCAACTACCCTCCACGCCTGAGTCTCTTGCCTGAGTGCCAGACAAAAATGTTCAGCTGCCAACCAGAAATCTCCAATTTGAGGTCCCTGAGATAACATAAAACCAATGTGTCAAAAACTTTCATTTTCTCTATGAATCTTTCTCTTCTTCTTGGTTTAAAAACTCCACATCTGTTTAAGTCACCAAATCAGAAAGCTAAAAGTTATTGTACATCATCCCCTTTCCTTCACACCACAGAACTGGTTCCCAAACCATATGAAATCCATCTCCTAAATAATTCATGATTTTGGCCTGTCCTCGCAAGCCTGTGTCATTTGCTGTGGGGACAGGGTTCTTATATGAAGTTTCTTGTCTCCATGATGCAGCCTGCACACATCTTTCTAAAGTATAAATGTGGTTATGAGAATAACCCCAAAAAGTGACTAAACATTTACAAGGATTTAATATAATAAACAATAAAAAAGGGACGCAGATTATATAAGCAAACTACATACCCTTTTAAAATTTGTTTTAAAAGTTAATTGCTTTCATCTCTTTCTCTTTCAAATTCTTCTCTAATTCCTTCCCTTCGACCTATAAACAGGCTTATTAGATTTTTCCTCCTAAAGTAATTTTCTTTGAATTTCATTTGGCCTCTGTCAAACAGCATTTCAGCCTGAACTTGAATTCACCCTCTAGAGTCTGCAGCAAATAGATGGCCAAGCCAGGGCAATATTACACACGAGGTCTAACATGACAGCATATGATGAAAGATTTGAGAGCCATCAAAACTGAGTAAACAATTAAATTTTATTTCTATGTTGGAAAAAAATTTATACATTACAATGTAAGATGACCAAATCATCTTTAAACAATAGTAAACAGAGTTCTAATATTAAATCAAGACTCTTCATGAGCATCTGAAAGTTAAAAATATTACACAGTGTAAAATGCCTTCCCCGACAATTCAAAGATGTGCAACAGCACAAATCAAATACTCACAGCAGGTGAGCTAGCTTCTACTGTTACACATCAGAAAAACAAAAAGAGACCTGCTCATCTCTGTTTTATGTTTTGGAGCCATTTGAAGTAGAAGCAGATTTGGGTGTTAGATCTAAAATGAATGGTTGGTAGGCAGCTAATAAACAAGCTGCTCTCTTTGGCAATGTATTATAAAAATGTAATTAATCTTTCTTTTTAATGAAAGCAGTTAGCTTTTTTTTTTTTTTTTTTTTTTTTTCTTGCGTTATGCGGGCCTCTCACTGTCGTGGCCTCTCCCATTTGCGGAGCACAGGCTCCGGACGCGCAGGCCCAGCGGCCATGGCTCACGGGCCCAGCCGCTCCGCGGCACGTGGGATCCTCCCGAAACGGGGCACGAACCCGCGTCTCCCGCATCGGCAGGCGGACTCTCAAGCACTGCGCCACCAGGGAAGCCCAGCAGTTAGCTTTTAAAACTGAAAATAGTAGGTCATTTGTCTATGTAACTGTTAGATGTCTTATTTTAATCTGCTAGAGTCAAAAAAAGCAGGAAATCATTTTCTAATATGAGACCTATATTTTAGGAAGACCTATATTCAACAATGTGCTCACCACTGTGCTGTGTTTAACACTGAATCTTTACAACCTCAATATTTATTAAAACTTCATACAGTAAGTGGTCTTATCCCTTTTTATAAAAAGGGAGTGAAAAGCTGACCAAGATCACTCAGTTAAAAGTGGCAGAGACCAAGTTCAACCCTAAGTCTATCTGACTCCAAAGCTCAGGTTCCGTCCCTACTGTGTCATATCTCTCATATATAACACTTCCAATTTCACTAGTAAACATACCATGTTACATAAGTGAAATTCTACACATCAACTCTATAAAATGCATGCATTTGCTATGAAGAGAGCAGAATTTATGCAGTTTAATTCTATTATCAGTATCAGTGTCCACTGATAACTCTTCTGTTCTATATGGTCTGTCTGGCTACAAAACTGAAATACAGTAAGCATCCACAATACGCAAGCATGTGCTAGTCCCTGAGGGGACTACAACCAATAGAAGAAATGGCCCTAGACCTCCAGAGGTATACAGTCCAGGGAGCACACCATTTATAACTAAAATAACCATTATGAAAGTACACAAAAGTATTAATGTAGAAATAAAATCTCACAATCACTCACAAAAGCGAAACAGAGATTCAGTCCAGTTCAGATATCAGTTCAGAGCTTTTTTACAAAAAAGACTTTTTTTCTAGAAATGAATAGCTATTCTGACTGTAAGAAAGAGATACCCTACTTTTTCTCTCCTTTATTAGATCTCCCCTTCAAAATTATTATGCTCTTAGGTCTGAGTTATATTTTGACTGAATAAGTTGAAGAAAAGATATAAAACTCTGGAGAGAAATAACCATCAATTTTGCAGACAAAAATACCATTTAATAAAAAAGGGTACTTACATCCTTAAAATAACGCTGTAATAATGAGAGCCTCACGTCATGAACTGCTGCACATGTATCCCAAGGGTAAATCTGCTCCTCTTCAGTGATAGGCAACTTTTTTGGCTCAATGTTGTCACGGCACTGCCCCAAAACTACATTAACAACAGAGATAAGAGCTCATTAAAAAACCAACATGTAGACTTTATAAAACCAAGAAAAGCGGAGTTATTTACCATAAGCTTCACTCAGTTTTTCACCATTACAATATTTTTAAAGACCTAAGAAAAAAGTGATATTCTAGTTTTCTTCTACAGAATAAATAAAGCTTTACACACGGCAACACTTATTTTCTAAAATAATACCAAAATATGAGTATGAACTCTGGATGGTTTCCAAAATCTATCCAGAGAAAAAGCCTAGAAGTTATGACTCACCAGTACAAATAAACTTCATTTCTAAATAAACTATTTTTCACCAGAAGGAAATAGATTATCACTGGAGGAAAAGCTAAGTCCAGGGTTGGGAAGAAGTGCAAGGTGAGGCTGGAGTTGTGTGTAATAAAGAGTAAGGAGGTATTCAAACACTGAGGGGGCAGGTCATGAGGACCTAAAGGAGTCCTGACTAGCGAAATTTGAGAAAACTTGAGAATCAAAAAGAATGATGACAGTAACAGATAACACATTCATTGATTTGGGCAGGGAACATCAAGTAAAAGGGTATGATGTTAGACTCTCAATGTATCATCCTACAGAATAACAACGAAGTGATTAAACTTGGTTAGCATCACCAATAATGGAACGAACTGTCACTATGAGCCTCCTAACGTGATGCAACGGAAAGGAACATCATCATAATAGTGCCCTTGCCAAAAATGTTTAACTTGAATCTAACAATAGGGAAACAATCATAAATCTAGAAAATGACACAGTCTACAGAACTGACCCGAACTCTTCAAAATTTTTAAAAAGGTCTGGAGAAACTGTTCTGGAGAAGAGACTAACAAGAAATGACAACTAAATGCAACACATGATCTTTGCTTGGCTCTTGGATCAAGAAAAAAATATAACTGCTATAAAAAATACTATTGGAACAATTGGGAGAATTTGAACATAGAATATTTTATTTTATTAATATTAAATTTCTTCGGTACGATAATGGTACTAAGGTTATATAAAAGAATATCTTTGTTCTTAGGTGACACAACCTAAAGTATTTAGGGATAAAATGTCATGATGTCCGCCATTTTCTTCTGAAAAGTGTGTGTGTGTGTGTATAGATAAGTATGGGAAAGAAAACATAAATATGACAACATGTTAACAATCAGTGAGTACAGGTGAAGGGTATTCAACTTTCCTGTAGATATAAAACTTTTCAAAATGAAAAGTTGAGAAAAGAGGTATTTTTAAAATTGTAAAACATCATAATGCAAAAAAAGTAAGTGGGGCTATAAGCATACAGTGCCACACATTACTCTAAGATTCAATAAGCATGGGAAGAGCCATTCTTAGAGAAGGGAATATCAGGCACAGCAACGTGGGTCCCAAGTTTTGGGGAGATTTATGGCAGCAGCAACAGGAAGAATAGACAAAAGCAGGTAGATGCTAGCAACTAAAATATAATTAGCCATGATGTATAATCCTCTTAATACACTGCTGAATTTGATTTGCTAGGAATTTGTTAAGGACTTTTACATCTATATTCATAAGGGATACCAGTCTATCATTTTCTTTTCTTGTGATGTCCTTATCTAGCTTTGGTATCAAGGTAATGCTGGCCTCAGAAATGAGTTAAGAAGTGTTCCCCGCCTCTCTCTCTTTTTTTTTTAATATAGAGTAGTTAGTTGGGTTTTTTAAAATTTATTTATTTTATCCATTTATTTTTGGCTGTGTTGGGTCTTTGTTGCTGCGCGTGGGCTTTCTCTAGTTGCAGCGAGCAGGGGCTACTCTTTGTTGCGGTGCCCGGGCTTCTCACTGTGGTGGCTTCTCTTGTTGCAGAGCATGGGCTCTAGGTGCGTGAGCTTCAGTAGTTGTGGCACACGGGCTCAGTAGTTGTGACTCTCAGGCTCTAGAGTGTAGGCTCAGTAGTTGTGGCACATGGGCTTAGTTGCTCCGTGGCATGCGTGATCTTCCCGGACCAGGGATTGAACCCATGTCCCATGCACTGGCAGGCAGTTTCTTAACCACTGCGCCACTAGGGAAGTCCGTCTTCTGCCTCTTTTTTTAATTTTTTTTTTTTCTGGACAAATTTAAGGAGGAATGGCATTAATTCTTTAAATGTTTGGAAGACTCACCACTGAAGCTACCAGGTCCCGGGCTCTTATTTGTTGAGAAGTTTCTGATTACTGATTCAATCTCTTTACTGGTTTAATGTCTGTTCAAATTTCCTATTCTTCTTGAGTCACTTTTGGTGGTTTGTGTATTTCTAGGAACTTATCCATTTCATCTAGGACATCAAATTTGTTGACATAAAATTATTCATATGTCTTTTTTTTTTTTTTGGCAGTGCACGGGCCTCTCACTGTTGTGGCCTGTCCCGTTGCGGAGCACAGGTTCCGGATGCGCAGGCTCAGCAGCCATGGCTCATGGGACCAGCCGCTCCACGGCACGTGGGATCTTCCCGGACCGGGGCACGAATCCGTGTCCCCTGCATCGGCAGGCGGACTCGCAACCTCTGTGCCACCAGGGAAGCCCCATATGTCTTTCTTATGTCTGTAAAGTCTATAGTAATGTCTCAACTTTCGTTTCTAATTTTAGTTATTTGTGTGTTCTCTCTTTTTTTCTTGGTCAGTCTAGCTAAAAAAATTATCAATTTTGATGAAATTTTCAAGATTTTGGCTTTGCTGATTCTATTGCTTTTCTATTCTCTATTTATCTAGGCGTGGTATTGGCACAAAAACAGACATATGCATCAATGGAACAGAATAGAGAGCCCAGAAATAAGCCCACACACCTAAGGTCAATTAATCTTCAACAAAGGAGGCAAAAATATACAATGGGAAAAGGACAGTCTCTTCAGCAAGTGGCGCTGGGAAAGTTGGAGAGCCGCATGTAAATCAATGAAGTTAGAACACACCCTCTCACCATACACAAAAATAAACTCAAAATGGCTTAAAGACTTAAAACATAAGACATGACACCATAAAACTCCTAGAAGAGATCATAGGCAAAACATTCTCTGACATAAATTGTACCAATGTTTTCTTAGGCCAGTCTTCCAAGGCAATAGAAATAAAACAAAAATAAACAAATGGGACTTAAAGACTTAACATAAGACATGACACCATAAAACTCCTAGAAGAGATCATAGGCAAAGCATTCTCTGACATAAATTGGACCAATGTTTTCTTAGGTCAGTTTTCCAAGGCAAGAGAAATAAAACAAAAATAAACAAATGGGACCTAATCAAACTTACAAGCTTTTCCACAGCAAAGGAAACCATAAACAAAATCAAAAGACAACCTACAGAATGGGAGAAAATATTTGCAAATGATGCAACCAACAAAGGCTTAATTTCCAAAATATACAAACATCTCATACAACTCAACAACAAAAAAACAAACAACTCAATCAAAAAATGGGCAGAAGACCTAAAGAGACATTTCTCCAAAGAAGACATACAGATGGCCAATAGGCACATGAAAAGATGCTCAACATCGCTAATTATTAGAGAAATGCAAATCAAAACTACAAAAAGTACTACCTCAAACCAGTCAGAATGGCCATCATTAAAAAGTCTACAAATAACAAATGCTGGAGAGGGTGCGGAGAAAAGGGAACCCTCCTACACTGTTGGTGGGAATGTAAATTGGTGCAACCTCTAAGGAAAACAGTATGGAGGTCCTCAAAAAACTAAAAATAGGGCTTCCCTGGTGGCGCAGTGGTTGAGAACCCGCCTGCCAATGCAGGGGACATGGGTTCGTGCCCTGGTCCGGGAAGATCCCACATGCCACGGAGTGGCTAGGCCCGTGAGCCATGGCCGCTGAGCCTGCACATCCGGAGCCTGTGCTCCGCAACGGGAGAGGCCACAACAGTGAGAGGCCCGCGTACACACACACAAAAAAAAAAAAACCTAAAAACAGAATTACCATATAATCCGGCAATTCCACTCCTAGGCATATATCCAGACAAAACTATAATTCAAAAAGATACGTGCAACCCTATGTTCATAGCGGCACTCTACACAATAGCCAAGACATGGATATAAACTAAATGTCCATCGACAGATGAATGGATAAAGAAGAGGTGCTACATATATACAATGGAATACTACTGAGCCATAAAAAGAACAAAATAATGTCATTCGCAGCAACATGGATGCAACTAGAGATTATCAAACTAAGTGAAGTCAGTCAGAAAGAGAAAGGCAAATACCATATGACATCACTTATCTGTGGAACCTAAGATATGACACAAACGAATGTATCTATGAAAGAGAAACAGAATCACAGACATAGAGAACAGACTGGTGGTTGCCAAGGGGGAGGGGGTTGAGAGAGGGATGGAGTGGGAGGTTGGGGTTAGCAGATGTAAGCTTTTATATACAGAATTGATAAATGACAAGGTCCTACTGTATAGCACACAGAACTATGTTCAATATCCTATGATAAACTATAATGGAGAAGAATATTTTTTTAAAAAAGAATGTATATATATGTATAAATGAATCATTTTGCTGTACAGCAGAAATTATAAATCAACTATACTGCAATTTAAAAATATTGATTAAAAAAATGTTCAATGAACCAATTTCTTCAAATGGTAAAATGCATTTGGGGGCAGGGAGACAAGGCACAGGAAAGATGAAAAGGGAATTTATTAATTAAAAGACTACAAGAGGCCCGTACAACTATAAATTAATTAATTAAACAAAATAAAGAAGAAACAATTGGGGAATTTTGAACACTGACTAGATATTTGATGATACTGAGGAACTAAGTTACTCAGGAGTGACTATGGTTATGTGTTTTTTTAAAAAAAATCCTTTCTATTTAACAGAAACAGTGAAATATTTATAGATGAAATAAAGTGATATCTGGAATCTGCTTCAAAATAATTCTAGGGGGAGGGAATAAATAAATTAAAATTAGCCACAAGTTGATTACTGCTAAGAGACTGATGGGGACATGGAGGTTCATTTTCCTAATTATTTTACATCAGTACATGGTTAAAAGTTGCCATATTCACAGGTAAAAAGATAAAAGAAAAAGGGAAGAGACAAATCAAAATAAATAAAGAATTCAAAAGTAAGGAAAAAGTAAAGAGGGGTAAAAGGTGAGAGGATGTCAGTGCGTGGGTGAGACTCAGAAGGAAAGGAGACAGCCAGAGATTTCCCTGGCTATAATTCCCAGTTAAAATCACCCTTGAGGTTTAATGCTTTTAATGGTAGTTTCTTATTCTTTTTCTCCTATCTTAAAATGATAAAAGAACTGTGGTATAGTGGAATTATCTAATATCAATAAATTGAGATAGTGTACAAAATTGTTAAAAGGGGATTAAATGAAGTAACAAGTCAAAGCAACTTTTTTTTTCCCCCGGTATGTGGGCCTCTCACTGTTGTGGCCTCTCCCGCTGCGGAGCACAGGCTCCGGACGCGCAGGCTCAGCAGCCATGGCTCACGGGCCCAGCCGCTCTGAGGCATGTGGGATTTTCCCGGACCAGGGTACGAACCCGTGTCTCCTGCATCGGCAGGCAGACTCTCAACCACTGCGCCACCAGGGAAGTCCTCAAAGCAACTTTAAAGATATAAAATAATGAACAAGTAACAGTCTAAAACAATAACATAAGCTTCATTAGGGCAGGGATATTGTTTTGTTTTGTTTATTATAACAGTGGTGCTCAATAAATATATGTGAAATGAATGAATGAATGAATAAAACATTAAGTTGATGATTATACAGTATTTGGTGAAGAAGTTATAGAAAGTCAAGTGGCAATAATCTAATAAACTGATTTCCTTACAACAGTAGAAAAGATAAGTAGCTGCAAAATTAGTCAGTACTCCCACACATTTCCTTTTTAGTAGGCATTTCTGGTCTTGACAGCTCTACTCCAATGTCCTGTTCAGTGAGGGTTTCCCAGATCAATTTCATGTTTAAACAAGGAGAGTAGTAAGAAGAGAAACTAATCTACCAGGCACCATATTAGATCCTTTTGCCTATATTACATTACTTAACCAACACAACAATCCTCTGAAGTCAGTGTTATCTCTATATTTAAAAGAAAGCAACAAACGTGGCCAGATTATGTCAAGCAATACCTGTATTAGAATTCAGAGGAATGTCTTATATCTAACTCTTTCCACTTTATTAATTCAGAGAGTAAACACCCTAGAAAAAAATGCTCTGCAGAAATATGTAAGTCTTTTATTTCTCTTTGCTCCACACATACTCCTGTGGAAAAAGGATTACATCCATTAGGACTGGAGTGTCACAGTTATCACTACCTCAAAATACTTCAATATGGCAGAGGATAGAGAGCATTCAGACAAATCCTTCAGTTTTTTTTTTAATTGTTCTAACTATAGATTGGCAAACATATCAATCTGCAGACTGTTTCAAGAACAAATGCTTCGGGCTTCCCTGGTGGTGCAGTGGTTGAGAGTCCGCCTGCTGATGCAGGGGACGCGGGTTCGTGCCCCGGCTCGGGAAGATCCCACATGCCGTGGAGCGGCTGGGCCCGTGAGCCATGGCCGCTGAGCCTGCGCTCCGCAACGGGAGAGGCCGCAACAGTGAGAGGCCTGTGTACCACAAAAAAAAAAAAAAGAAAAAAGAACGAATGCTTCTAAGCTCAAGAAATAAGGGCAAAGCTACCTGAATATGCCTTACATAATTAAAATATTTAAATTGACAATATTTATGAGCTTAAAATGCTTCTAGATTTTAGATCAATTAAATTGCCAAGAAAGCTGAACTCAGTTTTTGGCCACCTGGCATTGGTTATATTGCATCACACTTTAAAGAAAAAGATTGTGTAACATATTCTCTTAAAGGCTTCTTCCAACACTCATGTCCAGGAAAGTGAGATAAAACCAGATTAAGAATCTCTGCTAAACAGATCCTTGCTATAGATCTACAATTATTATGTAAACAAAAATATAGCTCTTAGTTAACAGAGATATTTATTAATTTACTGTAAATACTTCACCTCTAAAATGGTCCCACTAAAAAATTACTTTGATTTTACCTGAGGATGCTTGTAACAGTACAACCAATCCTGTAGGTCTGTCTTCAGAGGAGGGGCCACTCTGTCCACAAATAACACAATCATACACTGCCTCAGAAACTTGTGGTTCTGCTGTGGTGATCTCCATAGGAATATCACTCTCTGGAGAATCTGACGGGAAAAAGTTGCAGCTCTTAATTCCTGAAAACAAAAATCTCTCTTCGATGAAATTATGGGAAAAAAAAAAATCAAGCTAAAATAATTTTGAACTTCAATATCAACAAATGTATATAGTAATAAAACTATGGGGAAATTATCTTGCTAAAATACTCAGGAAAAGACAAAAAATGCAAAGAATTGATATAATGAAAGACTTTAAATAATATATGGTTAAATACACTTCTGATGTTGTATCATTCACACATAAAATTAAATCTTAAAACACAGACGCAAAGATATTTGTATCCAAAAAATTCTTTTTCATACTATAATTTAAGGAAATAAGGGGGAGATCATTTGCTTTAATTTTCTTTGAGGCACCTCAGAGGGGAAATTTATAATAACATGGCAGCTCTTGGAAAGAAATGGCAATATTTATTAGGAGATAAAAGAGGAATGAACTATTTCTCCTTTCTTTTAATTGTAGTTATTATGATTATATCTTAGTGATAATAATTATCAATATATATTTATTTATGTAGGGAA